TTTTTTAAATGAAACCATGTTTCCAGAACAAGATCAGGGATCAGAAATCTGATCACTGACCTGTTGCATACAGTACAACATGTTTCTTAAGAGTGTACAAACACACTGACTGATTATTTTTAATGAAACCATGTTTCCAGAATAAGATCAGAAATCTGATCACTGACCTGTTGCATACAGTACAACATGTTTCTTAAGAGTATACAAACACACTGACTGACAGACACACACCTTACTGTCTCCCAATACCAAACATCCAAACATCACACTCTCACAGCAGCCTTATGCCTTCTGAATTTCTCATGTTAATATTGAATACTACAAAGATCCAGCTGAATAATTCCTCAACATCCACTTATTGTAAGGACAAATCACCAACTTTTAGGCCTGCATCCTTTATCTCTTTAATTATATAACTTATCTTTATAAAATTTGGTTTGTTTCTCCAAATTAAATTCAGATTAATTTTGTTAATAGATTTTATTCATTATATAATTTATTTTCATTAGAGTAGCTTAGGTAAATACACCTTGAGAAACATTCCTAACACGGTAAACCACCAATGTTAAGAGGCTCTTTTAGTCTGTAGTTCAAATTTCTGCCCAGTAGGTGGCGGTAAACCGATAGTATGTTTGATACCAACCCACTGATCAGTAGAAGAAAACGCTTCAGAGTGACGTAATTCTGTGTAACGGCCACAAACAGGAAGAAAACATCCAGCTGTTATCAAAGCAGAGGGAGCTCTGGCTAGTTCAGCAGTCTGTGTTGAAGTGGCACAGTAATGAAACGGCCTTGAGAGTCGGGAATAAACTGGTGTTTTATCATGCTGTATCCGGAGTAGTGACTGTGTCCACTGATACCCAGGGAGTATAATTCTCCTCGACTTTCCTCCGGTCCGAGTGTTGAAACAAGGTACGTTAGCTTAGCAACATGTCGTTAGCTAGCGCTAGCAAATGTTAGGTTATAGCTAATTAGCAGGAAGCTGTAATACTTGTTAGAGCTGCTGTACCAAGTCACTGCGTTTTCCTTTGTTGTCTCGTGACTGTGTTTGATAGCATTGTGTTGTAATTTTAATAGCATGCTAAAATGTGGCTAAAACCTGCTGATAAAACAGAGTTGCTGTTTGTGTAAGTGATAGCAGGGTTTGATAACATCAACAACTATGGATATAAGCAGGCGTGTCTGTCACAGTCTACAATACAAGATGCAGGAAGTAATAAATCGAATAATATATAACATATATGACATATAATAGAAATATGTCATGTAGTCGGCAAGTAATTAACTGAAGCTTGGTTGTTTTGAATAGTCAGCTTGTTATTATGTCACACACTGAACTCAGACTCGTTGTGTTCAAGATCCTCTCTGTGTTTAAATCTTGATCCTGTCAACTGTTATAAAGAGCTGTAATTATTAGAGAGAAAATTAAATTTGATAATTGTTTCATTAATTTGGGTCATTTTCTATTTTGTCTAAAAGTTGATGATTCTAGGTTCTTAAGTGAGAATTCTCTGCTTTTACCTTGTCTTACATGGTGATTTATATTACAGTACATTTATAGAACAAATAACTAATATATTCAAATAGAAATAGGTAAAAGGTTAATTGATAATGATAATAATCCCAATTTGTAGCCCTACTGTCTTAATTTAGAACTATCAATAAAGATTAATTAATCAAATTGGTTGTTTTGTCTGACAAACAGTCCAAACCCCAAAGCTATCAAGTTTACTTTCATAGACCAGTGGGTATTAATCTCTGAGAGGCTAGAACCAGTGGATTTTTAAGAAATGACATAAATAATTAGAGCTGAAATAATTAGTTGATCTTCAGAAAATTATTCAGCAACTTTTTTGATGATTGATTCATCATCAAGTTATTTTTGTAAACTAAACCAATAATCGGTTAAGGTAGAAAATAATAAATCAGTAAGTAATTCAAAATGCATATAATCATTAGTTGCACAACTTTTATCAGTGTGAAATCTTACTGTTTAACTTACTTACTTGTTAAACTAAATTGGTTTAAATTCAATGTCATATTATAATACAAAGCTTGTAAAGTTTTAATTGCATTGAATTGCAAATAATGTTTTTGAGTCACATGTACTTCAACGTCTTATCATTGTTTGCCTAGGTTGGAGTTTGTTACTGACTCTGTGCTTTCTGTTGATCCGTGCAGGTGTGAATGAGTGACGTGGTGCCTCCCACAGCTCTCAGTGAAGTCCAGCTCCGCTTCCTCTGCCACGATGACATAGAGAATGTCAAGCTGCTCTGTGGTGATTGGTTCCCAATCGAGTAAGAATTATATTCAGTGTGCAAGTGATGACACCTGTTAAGGATCTAATCTGAATCCATTATTGAGTTTGTGAATTAAAATTGTACCCTTTCATTTGTAGGGAAAAACAGGTAAAGGAACTATAAAAAACACATGTTTACTTTTACTGATTTCCATCAATACATGCCTATTGATTATGCTTTTTTATATACACTAACATCTTCTAAAGAGACCAGAACTAAACCAGAACTAATACCTCAAGTACTTCTTACCATACCATTATTTCTGAAATAACTTTTATAGTAAAGAATCCCGTTACTCTTACTAACGTTTTTAGGATTCCTACACATGCCCATGCCTGAATGCTAATCTGGTTGACCTTTGACTCCAGGTACCCAGACTCATGGTATCAGGACATCACCTCCAACAAGAAGTTCTTCTCCCTCGCTGCCACCTTCAGAGGAGGTATCGTGGGAATGATTGTGGCTGAGATCAAAGGCCGGACCAAAGTACACAAAGAGGTGTGATGTTCAGCTCTCTTACTCAGTCACTTGAACAAAACACAACTGTTCTCTGTAGAGGTGGTGTCACTAGTGTGTTGATAGTGCAGTTTATCCGCTCTCATTCAGCTGCCATTTGGAAATGTGATAAGTGGATCCCTGACACAGTATAATCTGTTTTTAGACTGCTAATTGGACGAACCAAATGCCCTTGACTGAGTGTACGGTTATGAAATAGTGGAACTGAATTCATTCCACTGGACTAGTATCAGAAGTCTGCTCCTCTCACTGTAGGCTAGATGTTTCATCAGCTGTGGACTTAGATGATGGAGCACCTGGTGTCAAAGCTTAATTTCCCTTTGGATCAGTATTTGCATTTTAGAACCTGCCTCTCCTGTGGGTAATTTGTCTAGGAAAAGATGAAGACAGTGTAATGGGTCAGTGCCAGAGGGAGAATACAGGGCATGTTCAGAGACACCAAAGCACAAAGCTGAAAGATCCTTTCAAGTGATATTTTTTAATTTAATGCTGAAAGTAGTTTTTATTCCATAAATCCACTGTGGATGGTGAAAAAAAATTATGTTCATAGAGAATGGTGAGTCTTAATTTGATAATAATTTTCTCTCTGTCTTTGTCCGTGTGATTCTGTGTTTGTTAGGATGGAGACATCCTGGCCTCCAGTTTCCCTGTGGACACACAGGTAGCCTACATCCTCAGCCTGGGAGTGGTCAAAGAGTTCAGGAAACATGGCATAGGTACAGCTCTTTTTCCCCGCCGGCTCTCACACACACAGAACTTAGCATAGTCACTTCAGAGGACATCACACTGAATTACATTCCCTTACCCTGCTGAACTGTAACTACTACATGCTAAACCCGCTCCTTTACCCCAAACCCAGACGTTTTCAAACTGAGTTGAAGGGGAGGCGCAGAAAGAGAGGTGTGAGATGAAATATTATGTAAGGGGACAGGGACAGGATTATTGTTATTATTGTTGTTTGTCCTGCTGATTTAGCATGTCCACCAGCACAGTCAATAGTTGGAGCTGCAGCAGAGGCTGTGACAAGGCTCATGGAGGCACTTAAGGAATTTTGAAAACTTCTGTGCTTGTTTGCAGCAATTTGTGTCAAAAATTTTTCTCTTTCTTTGTGTCATAACCCAGCCAAATCTGAACACACAAACATGATACACATAATTATCATTTTCTTATTATTACCCTAACCAAAAAACAAGTCTTAATCTAATGGTTAACCTTGTGAGATTCAGCTATTTGTCCCCAAAAAGGAGACAAGTGACCACAATGTGAATAGAATTTACATCCTCACATCTGCATCTTATCTTGTATTTTTTGTCTCTCATGTTAAATAATATAATTAGATAATATAATAATATGATTAGTATGAAAAATATGAGTTGATGTAAATTGACTGAAATTTTACAGTGCGCTGGTCAAGCTCCAGCAAAGGTTATCAGGTCGTCAGCCACTCCTCACTCTGAAGTCAAATGAGGAAGCAGACATCAGTTGTCAGTGGACCTTTTGAGTAAACATACAGCAGTGTACCAACGTTCAGTTACATTATTGTGGACCACTTAAGCGTAAACATGAATATCACCGCTAACAATTGAACATAAATAATTTAAGTTGTGATTTCATCAGGAAAATATTACCATGGTGTTAGTGTGAAAACTCAAACAACATTGTCCTTTTATGTGTAAGATCAATTGATGCATTAATGTTATTAATGTTGAAGGAGGAGCAGGGTGTTTGCATTACTTGATCAGACTCACTGAACACAATGATGAAAGCAGTTAAAGTTGGGTGCAGACCTGTGGACATATTGTAATGTCATAATGAAAAATGGTAACCTGTATGTAGTTTTGTCTTTCTGCCAGTCTGTCATGAATAATAAATAACATAAAGGAGCTGCATGCTACATGTCCATAACCTTCTGCACACTTTCATTTGCAGCTGCTGAGAAAACTCGCCCCCTCTGTCTTTGTGTATCCTGTTTGTTCTCTCCCTCACTCATCTTTCACCCTTTTCTCTGCACTGATGCAATGAGATGAGGAAACATGTCACCCATGACCCAGCACGCTGTAGGGCTCGTCCTCCCTCTCACTGATTAAGCTCTGTGTCCTCTCCAACCACTCAGGCTCCCTACTGCTGGACAGTTTGAAGGAGCACATCTCAACGACAGCCCAGGACCACTGTAAGGCGATCTACCTTCATGTCCTCACGACCAACAACACTGCCATCCACTTTTATGAGAACAGGGACTTCAGGCAGCATCACTACCTGCCCTACTACTACTCCATACGAGGAGTCCTCAAAGATGGATTCACATATGTGCTGTACATCAATGGGGGTCATCCACCTTGGACAATATTATATCCTTTTGTGGAAGCAGGGAGAGAAGTCACTGTTGTGTAGGAGCCAGTTTGTATTTATGTTTCACTCTTACACCAAAACTTTACTTGCCTTGATGAGTAGAATCTATAACACCTTGATCAGAGGAGATGTCATGCTCAGTCACACAGACGTGTCAGCTAGATAAACCAAATACAAATGTTTCCTTAACTTTTTATCCTCACTGACTATATCCAGCACATTGGTTCAACCCTGGCCAGCCTGAGCCCCTGCTCCATCCCGCAGAGGTTGTACCGGCAGGCCCAGTCCCTGCTGCGCTCCCTGCTGCCCTGGTCCAACATCGCCTCCAAGACTGGTATACAGTACAGCAGAACAATGTGACACGTCATGGTGGGTGGCAGATGTGGTGACAGCAGCTTTGCTTTTCTTTTTTTTTTTTTTTTCTGGCTTTGTTTATCAAAGGGTTTCTGATTTTGTCTTTTTCTCTCTCTCTCTTTCAGGAGCGCATGTGTTTCTCATCAGTCTTCCCCTGTGTATAAACACACTCACATTCTCAATCACATATGGCTTTCCACACCCTGTGTATAACACAGGACTCAGGTTCCACCTCTGTCACAAACCAGAATATTACTCCATATTCAGTCCACGTTTGGCACTGTTCACACAAGATCCAGGTTTGCAGCCGTAGTTCTGTGCCCACTACTAAACAGGGTTACTGCATTGCAGCGTCATTTAAAGTGCAATGTTGTGTTTACACTGATAGACAGCGTGATCTGGTAAAACCACAGGATTTTCTTTTAGTTGTTCAGTTGCTATACTATCCCATATATAGTGCTCTATCCCGCAGTTGCTATAGTGACCTGTGTTTGGCCAGTCGCACCAAAGCTGAGCAGTGGCAGAGCAGAGTGGAGGACCAGGCACACAGTCGACAGCCACAGGTCATTGTTTTGCTGTGAAAGCGGTGTAACACACACACACACAGACGCACACACACACTGGGGACCCTACAGAGACTAAAGGTTCAAACCCTGTTTATCTTTCTGTCTCTCTTCATCCTGTTCACTACTGTCACAGAGACTATGTATGCTGTTTGTATATTATATATACTAAGCTAATATATAAATTTCTCTCGATATGTATGTCTATTCTATGCTGTCAGTAGGCCTAGTTGGAAGATAACCCATCCATTTTCCTTTTTGACCATAGACTGACTCCGGAGTCAATTCCAGTTTGTAAAATAGACATTGAGCTAAATTGGACTGTGAATCAAGCTGTTAATAGGCTAGTAGGGTAGAACAAAGCTAGTATACACAGGGAACTTTGAGATGCAATGTAGATGGGTAATACAGGATATTTAGCAGCAACGGGAATTTTCTTTTTCAAATTCTCTGTTCAATAATTTGAACTGGAAACTGTACTAGTGACATCAGTACAGAAACATACAAACATGTTATAGTATAATATTCTGTCAGTTTAACACAAAAGTTTTCCAGACACCTCGTCAATTATGCAGGACTGTTTGAAAGTCTTACATAAAAATATGATGATAATTCTGAGCTAAATGGCCTTTCTACATTGTTTCAAGATGTTGCCCATGTATAATTCACACAAGAGTGAGCGAGAGTTTCTCGACTCCTTATTTTAGAGGTTTTAAATAGTAACTGGCCCTGTCTGTCTTTCTGCTCTTTGGCTGTAAAATTGCTGCTAATGTTGAGCAATGTTCATTTGTTTGTCCACATTTAAAAAAAAAAAAAAGATATGGCCCCGATTAGATTTTTACGTTGACTGGTAGAGGAGAAAAGAAGAAAAAGAAGCAATGTTCCCAAACACAAACGTCGTACACCTTGTGTGCCTGAGTGCATGCAGGTGTGTATGTCTGCGTGTGTATATATGCTAGATACATGCATACAGGGTCTGAAATTAGCACCTTGCAAGTGCCAAATGTTGGTTAGATCTGTCTGCGGAAGACAAATGTAGTAAAGTTCACCCAACATGTTGACTGGTAACTTTGGAATGGAATAACACTGTTAATTTTATTGCGTTCTGTTGCACTACATAATGAATTACGAACCTGATCCCGTGTTTATGTCAGTGAGCAGATGTTAGATTTTATACATGAAATAGCACTGAAGAAGGTGAGGGTGACTGTGTGAAAAAATGCAGATTCATTTTTAAAAGGCTCTGAAAGTCTCTCAGTTTACCAGCCCAGGATGAACAACTCAAAAGTACATTTCTGACATTGTGTATGCAATAAATTTGTTTCCTTTGACTGATTGTAAAGGCTGAGTCAGTCTGACTGCCCCCTCTGTATACCTATTTTACACTGTTCTAATATTTTGATTGTGATTATCATATTACATTGTTATAAACCTGAGCCTTGTTTTCATTCACAATACGACATGGTATCTGTTGTTTGTTTTAAAGAGGCACAGCAGTGATTCAATATTGCACAAACATTTGTTGGGACTTGAGATGGATTTTTAAAAATGGTCCAAAGAAATCAACAGAGGCAAAGCTGTCCTGACTTTTAGTACCTAGTACAGGTCCAAAAACATTGTATCCTATATTTCCCATAATGCAGCTCAGTAGCACCTTTTGTTAGACTCTCCATAACTCGCAAATACCAATGTCTTTCAAACTCTTAAAAGAAATCAAGGCTGTGGTCAAAAAGTCAAAATAATCTCCCTTACTTACTTTTCTTTGACCTCAATGGAAAACATCATGAGGTCAGGGAAAGATGTGAAGGTGAATTCATAAGGACTTAGGAAACAAATCTGACTGCACTTACACTAAGCTTTTTTTTAACCAAATTTATTAACAACACATGGACGATGTATACTCCTTTCCTAACCACAAAAACAAACTGGTTTGACATGAAAAGATCATTAAAATAATTCAATAAAAATCAGTGAGTAGGGCCCAGAATGGATTATATTCAGATAAAAAGTAGGCTGTATAGAGTTTTGACCTTTTTTATACATTTGCAAATTAATTTTTTTAGTGCAGTGGGTTTTGAAACAACATTTATGTACATAGTATATTGTTATGATGATGATTAAAGATGATACACTTGCTCTTCAAGATGACTCCTGACTGGATTTGAAAGAGAAAATATCTATCATGGATTTGGAGTGTAGACGTGTTACAAGCAGAAAACAGGTTGTTCTTTTGTTTCTACATTGACGTGGGTCTGGCGAGGTAAGACTACAATGGGATGTTGTTTAATTGTAGGATGGCATTATCCCCTTTCGTTTCACAAAGGAAGGTCCAGTGTTTCCTATGCTAAAGGAGATGAGATAAGAAGCACTGAAGCTCTTTTCCTTATCATTTAGAAAATTCAACCGGCTCTTATCATGGCTGCCACTTAAATACTTCAGGGTCATTTCAATCAGTGAGGAACCTTCCCTAAGAAAAGAAGACTTTAAGACCGCAGCCCTGGTTTCCAACCTTCAAGAGATAAACCTGGTGACATCTTCAGGGTTATTTTCTCAAACCTTTGAAAGCCCCTCCAGACCCACTGAGGACATTATACAACTGTTGTCATAGGTTGAGTTGTTCTCATCATGATCAATAAAACTGGTGGAGTGCCCCTTTAAATACATTTGAAAAGGTTTCCTTTGTCTATTTCATCTACATTTTCTTGTTATTTAGTTGGGGGCAAGTAGAGGAGTCTGCTTGTGGCTGGGGGGAATTTCCGAAAAACATGTCTCTCAAACCTTTGACCTTCTTGTCATGGGAAGGTCACTGATAAACTGTTGACTCCTGCTGTGTAATTTGAGTTTTCAGTATATTCCAATAACTGATAACTGTTTAACATTTTCCTACTATGTGGACTGTTTTTTAGCGGTGAGATGGTCAGACCTGTTCGACATTTTCTGTACTAATCTGGTTTTAAAAGGCCAAGAGAAGCGCTGCTGTCCAACAGTCATGTTCTCATTATTGCAAAGGATCCAAGACCATCATTAATGCACAGTCATGAAGCAGCTCATGCACATAGAGTGTGTCATGAGGACTTAATGTAAGCAGTGATGAACTAAACTAACCTCAAGCTCAACATTCGGCATCAACAATAAAGTTAGTAGAAGGTAATCTGATCAGATGATTACTTTTATTCAGCACGCTGCTGTAGCCATGTTAGATTTTCATCTTTCTTTTATTTCCAGATAAAACAATACAAATAATCATGCAAACAATTCATGACAAAAGATCATTGCAAACGCTGTAACTCATATTAGGGTGGATGTCAGTTGATCCATTTCACAGAATGAATTATGAAGAAAAAGGGTGATCATGCACACTAATTGTGCACGCACATTAAATGGTCTGGTTTGTGACTACTGTTCCTCTGAAGTTTCCAGTGTTTGATATACTGGATAGCAACACAGATAATTTGGTCTCTTTGGAGTTATCTTGGTTTTCAATAATGGGTTTTGAACACATATCAAAATGCCAGACCAGTTTTATAGTTGATGTATTCTGCTTTTTGAAATTCAGCCTGATATGATCCTCCTTTGTGGCAGTGTTACTATAATGAATAAGTCACTTCTTTTTAAAATTATTTGCCATGTAGTGTGTTTTTTGACTAACCTCTGTGTACATCTTAATGGCAAATGGCAGGTGGTCATGCCAGCATTGCAAATAGTCAAATTTGAACATACTCCCACTGCCTCATTCCTAAGGCAATGTCACTATACTGTATATGCTCTGCTCTGTTCCCTCCTCTGCTCTCTTTGTTTTTCCTTTATGAGTTGTACAAAAGGGATCAGTTGTCTGTGGTGGGGAGAAAAGAGACCAATTAAAAAGGGAATTCTAGTAATTACACATTACAGAGCTGCATTATTTTAGCTGCTGGGCATTGTGATTCATCAGCATCACTTTACCCATAGTAACAGTTCACAATGTAACCATAGAACACATTCAGTGTCAATCCAGCAAAAACTACATTATAAGCCTGTTTTCGTCGATTTCAACCTTAAAAAGTAGTTATGTCTCCCTCTGCTGAATGTCAGGAGGTGCTTCATGTGAACCTTGTCATTTCACAGTGAACCAGTGTATTTCTCATAGCCCATTAAACTCTCACATATATATATATATATATATATATATATATATATATATATATATATATATATATATATATATATATATATATATATATATATATATATATATATATATATATATATATATATATATATATATATATATATATATATATATATATATATATATATATATACAATTTGAATTACATTTTACAGCACAGGGAACAATCATGTCTCCTTCCAGAGGCTGATTGATAAAATAATTTTAAAAAAAATTTAAAAGAATGAATTGACTAATGACAGTCTATGTGCTGTTTATGTGTGCTGTCTAGTCTATATATAGACTGTACATACCTTTTCTTAAAGAAATACAATAGATTTTTAAAATTATTTTATTTTTTCATTTATTGGGCCCATACTTTTTTTATGTATTGATTATTACAATTACATTTTAGTAATTTTATGTTTTATTATTCAGCATTTTTTTTTTTTTTTTGGCAGAAATCGGCTTCCGTAAAAATGTTAATTCGACAGCCAACATTTAATCTATCCTTATTTGTAAAGGGAATATTGTAAACTTTTCAGGTCGTGTTTTTATTTACGGTACACTGCGTAGTTTTCAGGTCGCACTGTGGCGTCCGTTACGGTAAAGTGCTACCAGGTGACGTCACTGTGGAACCAGTCACGCCCATTCAGAAACAAGAGAGAGAGAGCGTGAGGGAGAGAAAGTATTTACGCTGCTTTGACTCTTGGATAGTGAACCTCATCACTGAACAGCGGTGGCACAAACTAAACGGACTCAACTAAAACTCCTCTTAAAGTTTACGTTTTGCTTTGTTGGACGCGTTTTCTTCGAGTCGAGAAGTTGGTGGAAACAAGGTGAGTGATGCACGTTACGTTAAAACGCTACTAACAAACAAACAAACATACAAACAAACTGACAGTATTTAGTCCGTGAACGCCACACGGCGAATTCCCCAAGCAGTTAGCTTTTAACTTAATTTTTATCGCAAACTTGCTGTCAGTTTTAGGATACATTGCATCACAAATTATAAACTTGGTTTATGTAACGTTAATAAATATGATTTGTCGTAAAATTTGGAAACAGGATTGCTGTCAGTTACTCCATTTTTCCAACTTATCAGTGGCGTTCAAGTTCACTGATTTCCATAGTCTTTCCTTTCCATGACGGATTGTGTTTTCCTGGCGCGAGAAGCCGTTCATTTCCTTGGGAGGTGGGGGCAAACAAGCAAGCAAGGAGACACCAGCCAGCAGAGTGTGTGTGTGTGTGTGTGGGTGTGTGTGTGTGTGTGTGGGTGTGTGTGTGTGTGTGTGGGTGTGTGTGTGTGTGTGTGGGTGTGTGTGTGTGTGTGTGGGTGTGTGTGTGTGTGTGTGGGTGTGTGTGTGTGTGTGTGGGTGTGTGTGTGTGTGTGTGGGTGTGTGTGTGTGTGTGTGTCTCATCCAATTACCTCTTCACACAAGTCTGAGTCGATGCAGTGTGTGTGGAAAAAAGGAGCTTTCATTCAGGGACTTGAAAAGGTTTTCTCTCGGCACAGGCCTCCTCATTCGGAGTTAATGAAGTGCTGGAAGATGAGCTTCTGTGGGCGCTTAAGAGCTGTAGCATGTTGCCGGTATCTATCTGCAGCTCATTATAGGATGAAGATGTGTTTGAGAGTACGTGCATGCACTAACCACAAGACAGAGCAGAGGTGGAAGGAAAGCACTTATGCTTAAGCCCTGCTTCAAGCCTGTTGTTGGTTGAAACAAGAAAATATCAGCTGATGTGGTGGGCAACATCAGTTGTTTGTGTGTGTGTGTGTGTGTCTGGTTTAAAAGAAATTTCCAGTGAGGGATTGTGACATGGTGTCATGACAGAGGTTCAGCCAGGATGTGGTTGTATCTGAAGGTGCCTGTTCCTTCTTTAAGTCTACACACACATTATAAATGGACAGATTTACATTGCTGAAAGCTGCAGTTGAACTGCGTCGTTGTTGCACACCTGTAGGTTTATGTCTGCGTGTTTTAGCTTGTTCAGAGGTATTCAGGGGCTGGAAAGGGGTGTCTTTAAGTTAAGATGCCTCTTATAACAGTGACTGTTGAATTCCAGCAGACTTGAGTGTTAATGTAAACTCATAAGCCTAAATGGCCTTTAGTATTTCATGGTCATATTCTTCTTTAATAACTTAATGACCAAATTTAGACAACATGACGTTCTGTTCAGACATTTCAGCTAAAGTGGAGTTTGATGACAGACATGATTTTCACCATTTAAAGCCATAAACATTGTACATGATAGTCCTCCAGACCAGCATTTAAAATTCCTACATGGAGAAATCAATGAAAGAGGGCGAGATTATAGACCAGAATGCATTGCAGCAAGAAGACATCCCATTCTGGGAATGCTGGACACGACTGTATGTCAATCAAACTGTAAGTTCTGGAGCTGTTTCGCCACCATCCACATTTACTTTTAATTTCTCTTAAGATGCTCTATCCAGGGCTGCTCTCCCATTCTCTTTGAGCACTGCATCGTGGGAGATTAGTATACATCAAGAGCCCGCTCAAAAATGAGCTATTTTGCATATTCCTTATTTTCCAGTGTGAATTTACTTCATAGTCACTACACTACAAACCTGTTACAGTTGGTATGGAGTTGGGACGAAGCTCCAGTGTTGCCAGCAGATGACTAAGCAGGGATTCAGACACACTGTCCTGCATGAAAATCATTGGTGAGGGTGTGTTGTTGTTGCGTGTTGTACTGCTGTTCACAACAATCGTCAGGTAAACAGTAAAAAAATATAGGGTTCATGTTACAAAGGCATGTGCACTTTCATTTATTTGGTTGCCCAATGCAGATGTGCAGCAAAGGTTGAGTCTGGTTCTGGACCGTGCGCTGGTCCTCCCTCTGCATTGCTGGATTAGCTGCATGTATGTCAACTCAAGTTGTGAACATGGCCTTAATCCCACCAGCCAGTCGCAGCTAATCTTAGGCTGCAGACACCTCTGTCTTATTAGATGGGGTTGACAGAAATGCTTTAGAGACTTACTGTATGGCTTAGTCCATAATATGCACTGCTACAGTTGGCCTTTCAATATCCACCACTTTTTACTGTAGACTGTCCGGTGCAGGATTTTTGAGCCAGATACTGATGTTGATATCAGTGTATAAGCTGATCGTCCATTTATTAAAAACATAAACACATAACTGATATTTCAGCCTTGACGATTTATTAGTGTAGCTCTACTTTTTATGCATGAAACCTGTGTTCTAGGCATTGTGAGTGTCAGCTTTCTTCTCTGAGGCATCTCGGTACAATGTTTTTATACCAGCAGTTTGAATGGCATTGTCTTCTTCTAACCTACTGAACTGAAACAGCAGCTGGGTTTGAATAATAAATGAAAACATATACCACTACATGATTCTTTATGGCCCTCGGTGTCGTGTTGACATGTCATCTCGTCAGTTCGTGTACCAGATGGCATTATTTCATCTAGCTGACATGACACTGCAAAAATTCAGATGAGGCCTTTTGGCATCAAAACCAAAACAGCATTGTCATATTTGTCTGCTCTGTCATAAATGCTTGTTTTCTAAATGTCCACTGTGCTGTTAAGCAGCTTAAAAGGCTCACCGGAGTTTTTATGACCGTGCCTTTTACAGCTGCATAGTCGGGAGAGTCGGGAGCTCGTTGTGAAGGCCTTGTACGCTGTTGTGCAATATGATCTGCTGTAATAGTCCCCTGAGAGCGCTGGCTGTAGACAATAAAGCAGTGATAATGAGAGAGAGAGAGAGAGAGATGGATAGAAGATGCTCGCTCACCCTGAAATATGACTGGAATGACTCCTTGAGGCATTTCTGTGTTTATCACCACATCAGTCACTTTAGGAAATGTGTGTGAAGGGACATCGCAAAACAACACCACACTTTGCAAAACGGGTAATGTAAAGTGATTATCCTCGATATTTGCATGTAAATTAATGCTTGTATTGTTATGAAAATAGGCTTCAGCAGCAACTTTATGCATTGATGGTCCTCGGTGACACTGTCGGCTTCTCTTTCTATGGCTTTTTTTTTTTTTGTATCACAGATATCAGAGATTCGTAAACATTTCTCTTTGTCAACTTACCTTTACATGCACACAAAATATCGGCTATTGGGAGGAAACCAGGCTAAAGCAGGAAATCACAGAATGTGTTTACATGCAGCCCCTCTCCACCCCTCTTATCTTTCAACCAAGCAACTATATTACTGATGAGTGATGCTCCAGCCTCTTCTTCTTTTTGGACCAACATTTGGACTCATTATGCAGTGAGAGAACAGTGTGTTGAGAGAGCACAGTTTTTCTGAACAGTGAGAATATATGTGAAGTTAAGAAATTAACCTGGTGTTTAACTGTCAACTGTAAATGATCAGTTTCTCCCTCTTAATCCCGCACACATATTAAGATTTCTCATCTACACTTAAGAAGTGTTACTGCAGATATCCAGCAGGTGTACTTAAAATGCACTGATAGAAAGAACCAGACTTAAGCTGTTTTTAATGTTCAAACCAGATGTTTTGTTTTCTTTAAGTACAAGCAAACACATCAGTTGTAGTGTCTCTCTTCCAGAAATTAGACTGTTTCAAACCAAATCTGTTTTTCATTAAGAATACGCCAAACATCTCAGTGGATGTTCAGACAGAAAAGAGGTCTGCATTAAATTTACATAGAGGTGTTTTGTTTTCGCTACTGGGGACACGTCAAGAAGCAGATCTATGGGTTTGATGTCTTATCAGAAGCAAAAACACAGCACAGCAATTTATAAAAGTGACAGGGTTTTACGACTCTGTGAAGTTACCATGGCGAAAATTTTATCTTTACATGCAATGATCTCGAAGAAAATGGTAGAAATATGCTAATCTAAGATATTTTTGCCAAATGACATTGAATTATATTGTAGTAAAAGGTCAACCAGGTTCAACGTTTTTGTATTTTACACGAACCAACACTGGTTCATCTACCTGCTGAAGCAGTGGCAGTGTGTCAGGTGTTAGATTTGCTGTCTGGTTATTTTATCCAAAAAATGTACAATATCAATCTTAATGTAGAATTACTGAGTTAAGATATTCTACATCACCTAGTTTTTCCCCTAGTCTACGCATTGCAAGGAGTTGCAAGATGTACAATTTGCAAAATGTATGCTGCAGAAGTTCCTCATGCATTTATCAAGTGTGGCATCTCATTGAGGAGCAAAACTCACTTTCAGCCCTGAGTTTCATACCTTAGAGGTGTTGAATTACAGTGTGGGAAAGAGGTAGCGCTCTGCCAGTACCATGTGAACGTATCTACATGTAGTACAGTAGCACTAAGGTGGGTGATGGTCCTGCACAAGTCAGGACAGGACACACACAAGATCACGTTTCACTGTTTGTGTGGGGATTGCTGTGTTTGTTTGCTGTCCTGCTTATCTGCGTGCGGCAGGTTGAATGTAGTACACACAACCAGAAACACCATGATGGAGTTCTGTTACACTCTATTCAGAGTAGGCAGTGTCATTTTCAGCTCACTTTGACCTTGACTTGAGTTGCTCTACAGTTTTTATTTGATGTATTGGTGGGGACCCGGTTACTGGCAGGAAGTCTTCATCCACAGGAAGTGACAAATCATAACTTGTGGCTCAAATCCAGACTGTGTCTGACACAGCAGATAACATGTGAGAAAGCCGCACTCGCCTCCTTCATTCACTTCAATGGGACTAGTCCATTCATGCAGCCCCGTGTGTTGTTTAAATGCAGGGCTTTTTTTCTGTCTTGGCCATTGTTGTTCCTTATCTTTCTGCCTTTCTCTGCTTCCAACCCTTGTCTGCTTTTTCGCCACTTTGTTGTGGGAAGAATGACT